TTGCTGGGAGAACGCTAACTTCTGCGCCAGTGTCGACGAGGTAGCGAACTCTCGTTGTCACATCTGTGACGTATAACAGACGGCTATGTTTGCCGGCTACGGTTGCCGTTAACGCGTGCAGGCTTGGAAGTTTCCCGAGTTGTTTTTCGAGTCACTTGGTTTCGTGTTGGGAAAATTGCAGGGTTTTCTGCAATTTCTGGAAAACTTTCCATACTGGTTATGATACCAGCACCAGTCGAGGTTATCTGTCTCTCGTGGTCTAGAGACAGATCGCTTGCGTGAAATGCTTCTACGTGGAGTGCGCGATCTCTTACGGTCGGTACGAAGATTACGATAACGCGTGAGCGTATGACATAACTCGGTTATGTCATTCTGAGTCGTTTAAGGCTTTTCTTTGACTGAAAATACCTCGGTATTGGAAGATTTCGTAATTTCTAAAATACGATCGGCAGATGCAGCCAGTTCGTCTAAGGCGTTGTTCTGAAACGAGACCAGAACCGCTTGCAGCTGTTGGGGAAGTTTAGACAAGAAGAGTTGTTTGAATAGACTTTCGTCGGAAGTTCTTGGGCCTATAACCTCTCTCATTCTTTGCAACATGTCCATCGCAGAACCGTGTTGCAGGTCTATGTTATTATAGAGTTGATCTAACCTTTGTCGATCGGTTATGTCTCCTCGTTTAAGAATCGAACGTTTTAAGGTTTCGTAAGGTTCAGAAACATCACTAGTAAACATACTAGGTGTTATGTACCTGTTGAATTCGCGCGGTAGTGCCTTGACAGCTGCGAGGACTTGTGCACGTGTGTCGATCACGCCGTGCTCGGAGAAGTCGGCTTCTGCGTAGCAAAACCAGGCTTTGATGTTGTCGGGCCAGAAAGACATGAGTTGGGACGATGGTGTGAACAAAGTCTTAAGCTTAAATACTTTAGGTGTCTGTTCAATCATGATGAAATGAAGTACGATAATGAACGAGGGAAAAAAACATATACATCCAAAAAGCACTAAAATAATATCACAATGTATAAAAAATTAAGATACAGCAATAGTATATAGAATCCCGAAATGGAACAGACTCACAGTTTACGATTTGGTGTACCAGATCATGTCAGGCTCACCCATGAAGATGACACAGGTATTCAGTGTTCGACAACGCTTTTACCAGTAACACCTAATATAACTCGTACCCACCAAGAGAAATCAAAAGACAGAATCGAGGAGATCAGAAGTTGTATTTGACGATTGCCAATATATCGGAATTGTCTGACCTAGTCTGGCTAGCGATTGCAGTAGATGTTGAGCACGGCGTTCCCACACGTGATCTGGTGCGGCTGCATGACCGAGCGCCTTCAGCTAGGTGAGTCCACTAAAACTTATGTGATCAGCACCCAATGTCGAAAACTCACAGAGCTACTTACTTTGGGGATTTATTTATCGCTACAGCACAAATCTTTTACAACACAGCTACGATAAATTCTTTAATTAGACGCTTAAAAAATACAAACTAGTTACTTGACGAGAGAAGATATCTTCATCAGAATGGGAGTATAATCTTACCGATTTACTTATCTAGAGTAGTGAGTAAAGCAGAATTAAAATGGCTTATCAAACTCAAGAAACGAAAACGATACAGGAGGAAAGCGAAATCGCATGTAAAATAGATATTAACAATTTTACCTAGAACCAAAGTGTAGGTAGAATGCACGAATTACGGTATCGAGAATAACAACTATCAATGAAGCTGAAGTATTAACTCTATTGGTCTTGTTGAGTCGTACCAACATTTTATCTTTTGGGTCAACATCTCAAATATTGTGTCTTTAATTGTAACTATTGTCCCTTCCAGTGCTTTTACAGTCCGCATTTGGAGCTCAGAGTTAGTGAAAATTGCCAGTGGAAGTATAAACGATTCTTATTCTTATTAATGTTACATTGGACAGACGTAAATAATAGTGTAGCGAAAAAGCACTTTTACTGTACCGGTGACTGGAACTTGTTATAGTTACATAAATTTGCTTCTGTGACACTAGTTTGTTCACTCTGGTTCGGGTATACGTGATACCTTGCATTTTGTTCTCACTTTGAATGTGGAAACTCCAACAGCAAAAAAGACTTTTTATTTAGGGTGATGCGAAAGCTTTTTGTTTCATAAAACGTACACATGAAGGAAGCTTTACAAGCAAACACAGATGCGAATACATACATACACATATGCATGCATACATACGTAAAGGACATTACGAGTTATCTCTCATTTTGAGCGTCTCAAGTGCTACAATACTCCGAGCACTGTGAAATATATCAGGTCATAGTAATTAAAGTAGAGAAGATTTTCATTGTTTTCCATGAATTTGGTCAAAAAGACTAATAGCTTACTCCCTCAAACTTAGTTGCAAGGTACATTTGTTAAATAATACTTGATCAAATGATCAAATGCTTGATACCGTGGAAGCCTCTACCTGTTTTTGGGCCGTAACGATACTCTTCAAGTTTCGAATAGGTTTTTCTTAGCAAGAAACATTGACAGGCGAAGTGCTATTTCGCATGTGCCCCAATCAGGCTGCTAAGGTTCAAGTTTAGACAAGCGTGGGACCATAACGGCTGGGGATAAACTTCACGTTGTCAAGTCACTACACTAATTCGATTACTTCTAATCACCACAGGTCTATTTCTACAGACGCATTTCTGCCAGCCAGTAAGTTAAGGGGTCTAGTAAAACAGACGAAACATGCCATATAACCAAGATTACATGACACTTATTTTTCAACTTAACATTTAAAAATAATATGTCTCAGATTCTGTTTGCTAAGCATTGATGACTTTGATTTTTTATGTGTCTACTATTTTTGTGTTTTCTATTTTGGCATATCACTTTTAAATCATTGTTATTTGGCAATAAATCATAATAATTCCAATCCACGCCACCAGACATCAACAAGGCAGGCTTGTACCCAGAATAAGATAAATGGAGTAGCTTATAGGTAGCCTTTCTATAAGCTAAAGGGAGTTTGAGAAACTTTAGAACTTAGAGAGAGTAGTGATAATATACATCATTTTGTTATATTATCTTATTCGCTCAATCCTACTCTAGCGTACACGAACTTTCTGATTAGCTTCCTTACCATAGTATTTAAAGTGTTTCGTTGCTGCTCCGTTAGCAATTATATTTCTCTAACTCTTGTTATCATTTGTTGACAAAGGTTTATCGAACTTTTGGTCTACATGCTGTACTATCTGGCTGGTCCTAACCTGAATAAAATCACTGATTTATCAGCTTACAGAGCAATTTAGTTGAGACGTGAGAGTCATGAATCTTTTGCCAAATATTTCTTTTTATCCAGTTGATTATGAATCAACCTGTGTCTTTCAATTAAAAGTTAGTCCTCGTTCTTTATGTGTTCGTGTGGTGTTCATTTGTACTTGATTTTTAATTGATTTCGAATTCTAAATACAATACGATCGTTCATGCTCACCTGGCTCTATGTAGCATAAAAACACTTTCTCAGGAAGTTCTAGTTATTACAACGATTTGAATGCTTTTAATTATCATAGCTTGCTCGATGAAATACTCTAAGAATACTTTATTTCACAATTTCGCATTGGCAAACCTCAAACTACTGCTATTTAGCTAATTCTTTGATGGTTTTGCCGGTAAATGAATTCCTAGGTAAGAACGTCAGGATCGTGGCAAATTATTTGGTCTTCTTCGCTCAGTTTGTACTCTTTGATAACATAGTGAATGGACTTTGGTCGAAAATCTTAAGTATTGTTAGAAAAAAGTCTGTTTTAAAAAACCCTTCGTTTCTCGTACATCGATGCAAGTTATTAACATCTCATAGTTCGTTTTGAAGCTGCCACAAGTATTCGGAGTTTGACAGTGTATTAACCAGCAACAACTTTTATAATCCAAATGTACTGGCCCAGTTAAATCAGAAGGCAGAAGCGAAGAGGTTCGAAGATATGACTGATAAACTGTCGATATATCGAGAAGTGATCAGTGTAAGCTGGCTAGCCCAAGGTTTTGATTGTATTGCACATGGACTACACGGTTAACTGCTCCTTGGTTATTTCGAAATCAATACTTATTCTCCTGTCAAAAGTGTGGTGGAAATTTACTATCTTTTCTGATAGAACTACGACAACTAAATTTTTTGAATCACGGAGTCACTTTTAGATATGATAGAGATTAAGGTGTGGGAACAACAACATGGTAGGGTTTAAAGTGCTCAGTTAGTATCACTGGTATTTACCCATACCTTGTGTAAACAACTTACTTCTTAACATAAAGGGTTCATTGAATGTTGCATTTCAAAGTTTGCACAACAAGGTAACCTTAATTAAACGACCGTCGGAAATGAGGATGCACTGAACAGCTGTTTTGTTTCAGCATAGGATTCTTAAAAATTGTTCATGAGCAAGCAGTTCATTGATTGATTTGGGGACTTTCACTCCAGGGTATTACATCGAATAAAACTCAAATGACTGCAGTTAAAGCAAGACTAGTTAATTGAACCCTCTTCCTTGGAAGTGTACAGGGCACATTTACCCTGTTTTCGCCTCGATAGACTTCTATCGTATCACCTGCTTTGTCTGAGATATCATCCATATCGGTAAGTTTGGGGTGTACTCGATGGCATTTGTTAAGGTCATATTTAAGTCAGTATCCTCCCTTCCGGCTATTTTGAGCTCACAAGCTACATAATACATCACAACATTTGTTATGGCTGCTTGTCAACAAATTCACAGTCTGTTGACATGCACTGGATGAACCCTGTATACAAAATCGAAATGGTTTTAACAAATATGTTGCTAAACACTGTACATATTGGCCAGAGAGTTCTAAAACTCCACAGCTATTATATAATAGTAGGGAGTGATCTTCAAGTCGTGGCTAACAGTAGCTCTTGGTTTATTGTGCATTTGAACAGTAGCTAGCTTAGCTTCCACTTCTTATGTCGCTTTTACTGATCGCTTTTACTAATTGAGGGTTGAAGTTCTAGTTGCTGTTTATTTGTTCTCAAGGTCAAAGTTCGCTTGCAGACACCGAAGACTTTTGTAAGTTCCTAACTTTATCTGCCTACTTTCTGAGCACGTGTATTATGTGTCAAATAGGTCGTATTATGGTTGGGTTGGGTTGAACGTCCTCTACTCAATACCATGTACCTCTAATATCTTTTTCGTATGGTGTTTGTGTAAGATCTAACTAAAACAAATCTACAAAATCATCAAGCAAAAAATGACACGATTGTAATGCTATGGTTGACCGCTAAAGCAGTCTCCTTCCAACAGATAAGCTAGCAGCTTGCTTCGTCTGAACGGCTGGGTAGAATCACTCAAGTTCATCTGTCATATTTAGTGCATGGTCTTGTTTCAGATTTCCTATTATTACTTTTATGGTGTTACATTTCAAATATCTCTAAAAATTTATATTTATTTCAACCATGCAGTTGGTAATACTTCGTTCTACGAGCTTTTGAAGGATGCAGCCAGTTGATGAGGGTTTAGATTATGCATCTCAAGGGATGATGGATGAAGTAAGTTGCTAATAAACCTTTTATTTTTCCAGGACATAACATGTACAATATCTAGCGAACGAGCCCCAGACCTTCATGCTGATTTCGTCGAGGTAGTTCATATCTTCAGTAAATTTTTTTTCTAGATTTCGGCTATGACCCTTTCGACGATGATGATTTAGATTAATTTTGTTGCCAAAAATATATATTTGTTTCTTTTGAACCGCATTCTCGATTTAGTGTAATGAAAACTGTGTCTGTCTGCTACTTTTATTTTGATCATAATACAAACTGCAGTGTAATCATTTTCAGTTTCATTTAGTAATGTCAATTTTACTGTCATTAAATTCCACTTCGTTCATTAACAATATAGTCTTAATGACCGGTGAGAATCTCATTGTTTTAAGATTAATAATTTTGGGATTAAGATTCAATGCGGTCATTAGAGTTTTGCTAGGAATCGACTGGTCATTAAACTTCTACTTGATTTTGCTTGATCGAATCAACAAGTTTTCGTTACTGTAGAAACAATCCACTATTTAACCTTTGACCATTTTAACAGTTTAAGCTAGTCTCATCTGTTGAATAGTTAATCTCCTTAACAATCATGAAATATGTTTAGTCAAGGGAGGCTTGCCTGCAGTCGAGTAAACTTACTTGACTTCAGTCAATTTTAAGTTTTTTAAAAATGCTTGGTGTCAATTCCTAGTTTTAGCTCTTATTTATTCCGAACACTTGACAGTCTAACTTAAACCGTATATTAAATGCAAATCTCAGTGTTATAAGAAATTTAGATATGCAGAAAAGCGTAATTACCTTTTTAGCCCACGGGTGCACATTTTTATTGCAGTAGTATACTGTACTTGTGGGCATTCACAACGTCTCCAGTGAGTTCCCCTTACCGTTTTCTAATTGTCACAGTTGCCCTTAAGTAGAAGCGAACCCTTTCACTTTTGTGCTTGCAAACAAGTTTTAGACAACTTGTTGATATGAACTACATGATCCCAAAGTAATTGATAGCATATTAACCTTAGTCATCAAGAGAATACTTCTTATTATACTTCATCCCCACAAGGATTAAGCTCTAAGGTTAGAGACTGAGTGGCAGTCTCTTGTCTTATTGTAGCTCCTAATTAGCCTTATCCCTCACACAAGCCATGGCAATCCAAAAATGAGGCAGTCCCATTGCATTTGAGATTATGGACCGCTGGCAGCTCATGAGGAAGATTCCAAATTTTTGTTCGTTGTACTGGTTTCCTTAATCGTGAAGCTCTCACTGATTTTTTAAAATAATATTTTCAGTACATACTTCAGAAAAGAGTAAATAACTGTAGCTTGATGACTAAATCATTCATTTTAGGGAGCAGGACGTTTCCAAAACATAATTATCACAAGGATTTTACTTTGAATCGATTGTGGAGCCAGTGAGGTTTCTTTCAACCTATTAAGAGGGCAAGTTTACTGTCCAACACTCCATTCTGTATTACTATATGACTATGAACATGGTGTATGAAGAGAATATAGGGGTAGACTATAATTCTGATCATAGCTCTCTCCAAAGTATTCCCAACGTATCCTGTGATTAAGGAGTGTGTGAGGCTGAGGTTGTTTAAGATGCTAAGCAAAGACGGAATATCTACTGTGAATCTTCATCGACTTGAAACCTGTGTGGCTAACCATTATGTACTTCGAATTACGATGTTGTAAGAGAACTAGGGTGGCCAAGATATAGAACCGGATGATGAAACCATTGACTACTGCGGCTGTGTTGGAAATTTCAAACTAACTCTTGGAGCTCGGTGCAGTAATCGTGACCAGTGGTTGCAAACTTGGTGACTTGGCTTGGGACTGGTCACTACTTATTCTCCTCTGAGTCTCGAGTTCCGATATTAGTTCATACTCACAATTCCTCGAATTCACCTCTTTCTAAATAGTATCCCCCCTGTGTTTAGTCAATAAAACTGTCCTTTCATCTCGTTTCAGTCAGTCAGTCAGCTACAACGTAGAACCAGGCACATTTATGCATCGGTCCAAGTTGCCATACCACAATAGCACAACAAGATGGACACCGGATTCATAAAAGTAGTTAATTCAGAGGTGGTAATATACAAAAGAAAGATTGCAATAAGGATATAGTACAGGAAGAAAGAATTAGTTCGTAGAAAGAAAGATATGAAGCAATTTTAACCTCATAGTTTAAGGGAAGATAGAGAGTGTATACACCTACACCACTGTGATCGATTTCGAGCCATGTCACCCACAGTCTCCAACCATTGGTTACGATAATCACGCGGACCCCAACCAAGTAGTCTGCATCTACCAACATGGCTCAGACCAGAAGTTAGTGACTTCAAGCACTGGTGCCACGTTTTGGTTTGGCCGCCCCTGACTTTCTTCTAACCATCCCGAACGCCGGTTAGCATTGCACGTCGTGGTAATCGGTGTTCAGGCATACGTAACACGTGGCCCGACCATCTCAGTCGATGAAGATTCATAACCTCATCAACTGATTTACCATCATTCCCTAATACCCTGCGTTTAACCTCACTATTACTTACCCAGTGATCCCAGAAGATGCGAGCAATATTTGTGAGGCATCTGGTCAAATACTAGTAGCTTACGAGTGTCTTCTACTCTTAATGGCCATGTTTCGCTGCCGTAAATTAAAACAGAACGGACTGCCGCGCAGTATACTCGTCGTTTTATTGGTAGACGGATATCTCGCCTTCGCCATAGGTGACGTCAGTTGGCAAAAGCCAAGCGAGCTTTTCGAATCCGTGATGAGATTTCGTCAAACACCAACTCATTAGGGCTGATCAGACTTCCAAGATAAGTGAAGTTGTCAACGCATTCGACTACTTCACTCCCTATCCTTAGTTCAGGTGTTGACGCAGACCAGTCCTGAAGCAACAACTTTCATTTCGAGGGAGAGAAGCGCATTCCAAACATTCTAGCATTGTTGCTCAGTGCTACCAGAAGGGTCTGCATTTTATCAGCGTCTTCACCAAACAGGACTATGTCATCCGCGTATTCTATGTCGATAAGTGGACCTCCTGGAAGGAGCTCAATACCCGAGAGTTCAGTCGACGAGAAAGTTATTTCCATCAGTAGGTTTATGATGAAATTAAACGAAAATGGAGAAAGTGGACAGCCTTGACGGACACGACTGGAAGTTGCAAAAGCAGATGACAGTTCGCCATAAGCTCTGACTCGACTGGTAGTGTTCGAGTAAAGAGCCTTCACAAGGTTTATGTACTTCTGAGGTACGCCTCTCAATGACAGACAGTGCCACAGAATCTCGCGGTCTACGAGTCGAATGCTGCTTTTAATTCAAGGAAGACCACCATTGTCGGACGCCGATACGTATGCCTGTGTTCTAGAACCTGACGAATGGTGAATATGTGGTCTATGCAGCCAAGACCAGGTCTGAAGCCATCTTGATTCTCTCGTGTTTGCAGTTCACGAGTCTTAGTTAAGCGTCGTTTACAATTCATGTTTTTAATTTTCTCCCTTCGTGTTAATTTAACGTGACAACTTGGACTGACATACATTTGTAGCAGTCTGTGTTGATTGTGACTAACGTATGTTAGATGAAAATTTTGACAAAAATGTCCAACCATTTTATGGTGAAATCATTGCCAGACTCATCCCCAGGTGTCTCACATAATGTGTGCGAAAATCAGCACTGTTTATATGAGTTAACTACTTGTTAACTCTGAAATATTCCAGAGCCACTTTGCCTGTAATTGACTTTCATTCATTACACTTATGAATCGTGTCCGAGAAGCTCTGTCCCACATCTGGGAAACTTGGCTCCCTTAGGATAAATTAGTTTATCTGCTAATGATTGGTCATATTTTATGGTTACGTCATGTAGATAATGCTGAGATCAGGTAACATATTTAGACAATAAAGACTCATTTGTTATGGTGAAATCTTGATTTCATTTGAATGAATATTTATAACTCTTAGATTCTTCACATCCTGCTGTGTATAGATTGGCATATATAATTGGTAAAACGATGGTTTAGTGGTTGAAGTACTTATCTTTTAATCGATAAGTTACAGATTCGAATACTGCTTTCATCTACTTTGAGTGGAGCACCCGCGTAGAATCATCAACCTTTACACAATAAACACGACTCAAAGTTGAATGTATAAACGTTTAGTTAGTAAATGAGTTAACGTGGTTGTTGAGTAATGGGGAATGTTAATGCTTCCAAAGTACTTGGCAATTTTTTGCTGGTATTTCAATAATGGTATTTTAAGGGACTTTCATAGAGTTCTAATGATTCCTCGTATTTATGCTAAAATATTCTAACGATGGTGTAAATTTTCACTAAACATAAAGCTAATTTGTTCACAAGTAAGCTGTGAATTTACGGTTACTTCGGGGAACTGAATAGATATTTGGTGGGCAGAAGGAAGGTATTTATGATTATTATTTCAACACAAGTTTAAAACTCAGTCACTTAAGTTTGCGGTCATACTCAGACAAAAAATAATGGTACACGGCTCTTGATTTCGAAACTATCTAGTTAGTTAGTTGTCAAATCGAAGTCTACTTTATACATAAAGATAATAAACTGAGTTTCCAACTGTCCAAAATAGGGTTTTATCCCGCACAACTTCACACATTTGATTGATTGAATTCTTTGAAATAGAACATTAACTTGTTTTCCATGTGCAAAAACCAGAGAACTAAAGTTAACTATAGTATTGTATTACGAATCTTTTCATGTAATGGGTCATGTATAAACTACTTCCTTAACTGGTCGTGTTTATAAATTTGTATTGATGGCTAAAATTTTTACATTATGTGTGTTTTCATGGAGTTTCTTTTAGGAAATTTTCATGGTTTTGATAGTAATGTTTCTTGTTCTAGTTAGCAACAAACTGTACATCTTGTTTAGATTCTCAACCAATTGGGAATCGTAAGCTTTTTCCGGACTATTCAATACATATACTTCCAACGTGATTAGAGATCATAATTTTGTTTGAACTTTGGACTAATGATAATTTTTGACTTACACTACATTCTTATTGTTTCTTAGGTATATACTTCATTAGTGAGAGACGTAATAGCGTTTTTTGTAAGTTGTATATGGCTGGTCAAAATATACCTTCATGTTTTATTGTTGCGTATGTGTCATATAATCTTAAAAATAAGAGCTTACTAATACCGTCTATGTTAACTCAGTTAATAATATCTAAACTTACCTTTAAACACCTACGCGTAACTTGATATTTTTTTAAGATTTCGTGTTTGTGGTTTGTTGTCCACTTTTTGGATTGTAAGTTTACTATTTATAGCCTGAATACCTGCTAAACATTGGTACTTGCCATTCAAGACTAACAGGAAATAGTTATAAATGGGATTGTGAAATATCATTGTATGGAATATTATTAGATAATTAAACATTGTTCAGTTGAATTGGGTTTAAACCAGTGTTTCAATCACTAAACTGTGTATCTCTTATTCACGATTTCGTAGGTGATAAGAAGGATGTATTAAGAATTTATTGTTTATAGGTTTTTGATTCATCTTACTTTTCTAAGTATAGGTAAAATTAATATGGCTTCGAATCTCAATTATTTCCTTCTAGTCTAGTTATTAGCTTGTAATTGCGTCGTAGAAACACTCATATAACGGTTTCTTTCGTTTAAGCTTTTATGTGAAGTGCTACTCTGATTTTTCGTTTACTAGCCCATAAATTTGTTGAATGTATTAATACTTTCGAGTTTTCATATATTTTCAGTTTTTATACCGAAGTTTCAATGTCACGCAGCTGTATATACCATCTTCATTCTTCACTGCTTTCTAAACGTATTAATCCTGAGGATGTTTGGCGCGTATTTATTAGTCGTATCCAAGCCGATATGCAAGGTGTTAAAGATGGTTTATCTGTGTCCAAACTTGGTCTTCCTCCTACCAATTCAATACTGAGTAGCTTATCTGAGATTATGCCAAAGAGTTCAGTTACAAATCCAGATACTCCCAATTTGATGACTTCCGTACCGGTGGTTGTAAAAGATAATTTATGTGTCAATTATCGTAGACTACCTCTAAAAACAACATGTGCTTCTAAATCACTGGAAAACTTTTGTTCACCATATGATGCTGCTGTAAGTTAAAAATGCTTAGATTTGAAAATCATTAGTTCAATCTTGTATGTGTTTACAAATTAGACAGACTAAATTCAGTATTTTCCTATATTTTTTAAATTAATGTGTTCATTTCTAGGTGTTGTAATTTTTTCCACTACACTCCTACCAGTCTTTTGATTGACATCTGTTGTTGAATGTTGGGTTCAAATAAAATGATAAATCCTGAACAGTTGACGAAAACACTATTGCTGGTCATTTATTAATGGACTAAGCGTTTCTGTCAAACCAATTTTATCTAAATATATACTCACCCTTTCTTATTTCATTAAGGTATCAATATGTAGGATAAAGGGTGTTCAGAAAGTTGAAGTAGATATATTTTTACAATTCTGCTAATCAAATTAAACAATCTATGTTCAAGTACTATAATATCTCTCCACAAAACGTTAAAGTTTTTTCCACAGAAATGGTATGCATTACTACCGTATTCAAAACCTAATTATAAAAGCATAGTTTTTCAACTGTAGGTCGCTTAAAAACGTATACATTTTATCACCACAGGCATTTCCAAGCTATGTAAGTTGTATCCACAATTCATACAGAATTTTTCAAACCTCATAGTTGGGGGAACATGTTAAACCATCGCTTAGAAACTTCGTGATATTTTTATGATTTCAAAGTTTTCATTCGTTTGAATTTGACATATATCAAAAGATAAAATAAAAAGTATTCAGAGGATAATGTTACACGATACGTTAATTTAGTTTTATTATAGCCAATTACTTTTATTATGTGTCTGCAATTGTTCAAAACTTCAAGATGAAATGATTCATGGACTTTTGTGTGAATAAAAGCACGTACATTTCATATGAAACTAACTTGTTCTTTACATACAGTTATCCTTTTTGAAAGCCGTGATATTATTGCAAATCCCATTAAACGTAAGGATGTAAATAGTTATACACTACTTACATTGATCCTTAGTCTTCATCAAACTGCTTAGCACAGCTAATTCAGTGCAGAAATCACCGATAGTGTACTTTGTATCATTCGACAAAGTGATTAGTGTTTATGTTAATTAAGTGGTCACTTATCGAATTATCTGCTTTATTTCGGGATAGTTTTGGATACGTTACTTTCAAGTAACAAAAACAACCTATTCGTACTAGCAATTATTAATAACTAAGTGGCATTATCGTACTATATAGTTTGTATATTGTTAACTTTTCCCGGTTAGTTTTTACTGAATTACGAAAGTAAATAACCAAGAGCATCAAAATGTTAATTTATACATACGAATCAATGTAGAGCTCAGATGTTATTCAGTCACCACACTCAAATGTCAGTTTGTATTTCAAATTGTAGTTCTGCTTATTTAAACATTTTAAACAGCTATTTGCTGGAATATTTTTGTTTAATTCCTTGTCTCTTTCAAATGACTTCTCCAGGTTGTATCATCTCTTCTTCATTCAGGAGCTTTTATTATCGGGAAGTCAAATATGGATGAGTTCGCAATGGGTTGTGGATCTACAGATAGTGCAGTTGCTGGTCCTGTTGTTAATCCATGGTCTGAAAAAGCAGCTGGCGAAATTCGTCTTATCTCGGGAGGTAGTTCTGGAGGTAGTGCTGCTGCAGTTGCTGCTGGTCTTTGCTTGGCTAGCGTTGCTTCGGATACTGGTGGTTCAGCACGATTACCTGCTGCTTATTGTGGAGTTGTTGGTTTAAAGCCAACATATACTTTACTCTCTCGTCATGGTCTTATCCCATTAGTAAACACTTTAGACGTACCTGCCATCATTGCACCATCTGTCAGCGATGTGGCTTGTGTTTTAACAAGTTGGCTATCCCCCATAAATAACTTTGCACGAATAGGTGATGCCACATGTTCGCAACTTCCACACTCTTTTCTGACTCGTATGTACAATGAATTGCAAGCTCTTGCCAAAGGTGATTTAGATTCTGCTTCCAAGGACACTCCGCTACGCATAGGTATCCCGTTAGAGTATCATGTTCCTGGTCTTCAAGAGGAGATATGTTCCATGTGGGACACTGTTGCCGGTTGGTTAGCTGATCATTTATCCTGTCTTGTACAGTTAGTCAGATTACCTCATACACCTATGGCTACAACTGTGTATTCAGTTTTGTGTGCGACAGAAGTAGCATCAAACATGGCCAGGTAATTTCAAATTACACTTGATTCCGAAAATATTCTTTTCTATGGGTTATTGATTTCTTACCGTTATAGATTATTAATATTGTGGACTGTTAATGTTCATAGCTGGGTGCTGGTAAGAATTTCCAGGATAAATTGGAACAGATGTTCAGCACGATCTTGCTTTCATGATTGAGTACCAACGTTTAGTAAAAACTATTTTCAATTAATAATTAAAACGGATCACATGAACTTTTCAATAATGTAAGGGTCTGGGATTTATGAGTGTTATCTGTATTGAGGCATGTGAATCTGGTCGAACTGTATAATTGTTGTATTACTTTATATGCAAATGAAATCCTCGGTTGACGATTAGTTTCACTGCTATAAGTAATCTTTTTTTGTCCGTCAGGGTTGAGAGTATTAAATTTTCTCTTCATAAATAAGCAAATATCGACTTAATAGGAATCTGTTCTGCCTTTTAATGATCCAATTAATTTCTATTCAGATACGATGGGTTAAAGTATGGATTTTCCACAACGAAGTTATCCAACTATCATGAAGATTCATTACTGAAAAATACGGTGACACAATACTCTGCTACTCGTTCATTAGGTTTCGGTGATGTTGTTCAAGGCAGAATTTTCGCTGGTAATTTCTTTCTTCTTCGAGATCAACAGTGTCGACATTTAGCTGCTGCACGACGTCTATGGCGTTTGATCAAGGAAGATTTCATGAAGGTAATGTCAGGATTTTTGTGCAAACAAATGTACTTCATCGATAAAAGAAAACCAGAAGTTCTACATAACACCACATGAGTTTTAGCCCATTGTGTCACATTAATTATATAGTTAGCGTGTTATCAAAAACATTGTTTAATTATTACCATTATTAATGGCTTTATTTAATATTATATTTTTAGTACACTATAGAACTCTGATCACAAAGTATTTCAACAAGTTTCCTTTCCTTATTTCTTGATCGACCCTGGCGATAAATACTTAGTGATCGCCAGTTCAGGAATCGACATCTGAATAATATTCATTTTTTAAAATGCATATTGCTAATCACCATGATGCCGCTGACTATACGTTTTTGTAACCTGTATAGCGAAAGGTCGTAAACTTTTCATAAACGCGCCCAAAAAGGTTATGCGATTAATAGACGTAATGATGTACTAAAACAAACAAAAACAGATAACGTGTTGAAATATCTAGATGACAGAAACAGGTAGCCCAAATTGTTGACTTTTGATGTAGAATATCATTTTTACTATTATTAGACTTCACATATAATTAAGCTTTTTATCGATGTTGCTATTTTCAGGTTTTTGAATCAGTTGACTTTATATTAACACCAGTATCACCAAGTTTACCTATTAGTATAGATGAATTTTCCAAACTCGACAATCGAACACGTACTACACTTGATGATGTATGTACAGTAGCTGTAAATTTATCCGGATTACCTGCAATTTCATTTCCTGTCGGTCTATCATCTACACGTGGATTACCAATTAGTTTACAATTAATTGGACCATACTTTTCAGAATGTCAACTGTTATCACTCGCTGCTAAATTAGAACATCAGGCATGTTTTCAACCTTTAATTAATCATAAATCCATTATTGATTCTATTTAAGAGTGCTTGATTTTTAAAATTTTTCTTAGTCTCTTTTCCCTCATTTCTTTCGGTAAATCATTTGAAATTGAATTATCGAGTGAAGTTGTATATCTCCTTTTTTTGTTTCTATTGGTTTCTTATGAAAAAGAAATTAATTGTACAAATTTGACATATACTAGTTCTAATTTTTTAGTGATATTACGATGACAATATACTGAATTGTTCTACAGTTTAATACTGTTTTTTCTTAATCTATTAATCATTCGAAGAAAATTAAGTAAATTAATTAAGTTTTCCTTGTTTATTGCAATTTTTGCCGGGGAAAAGGCATATATATATATATATATATATATATATATATATATATATATATATATATGACGGTCAGTTAATCAAGCATTCATATTCTGTTGATCACAGAAAAGAGAGACCTTACGTTTGCTTCTTTTTGTTTCGGGAAAAGAAACAAACTGATAGTCGTCAGTATTTTTAATTTATATTGAAACAGTTACTACTTTTATTCATTTGCAAATATTTCGTTTGTTTCCGAATTTCTTGTCATATTGAAATCAATTAATATTTTTAATTGATGAACGCAAGTGTTCAAGTATTAGGTTATTGATCAGTGCCATCACTAGTTAATAAAATAATTGACTTTAATCACAATTGTAAATCCAAACCATTCTGCTTCCGTATGACTTTTAGAAGCCGGTGCTTTATTACTGAACTGCGTGTATATTCATTCATAATTTGTATATTTAGGTATATTTAGTAATTTAAGTGATTTTGTGCCAAAATTATCAACTATGTGGGACGTATTTTCACCGAAGTTTTATCAGAATATTATTAAAAATAAATTAGCATAAATTGTATATCTTTCAATGGTTGAGATCATTTGTCAGTTTAAGCTAGACCACCATAGGGAACCTGGAAGCACTGGACGGCCGTTTCGTCTTATTGTGCGACTCCTCAGCAGTGCGCACCCACGATCCCGCCTCGCGAGATTCGGACCTAGGACCTACCAGTCTCGCGTGCGAGCCGGCATCCATGGTGATCTCAGTCAGTCAGTTAAAACGTAGGACCAGGCATATATGTGCATCGGTTTAAGTTGCCACATCTTATTAGCACAGCAAGATGAACACCAAATTCATAGAAGCAATTAACTCAATGATGTAATATATGAAGGAAAGATTGCAATAAGGATACAGTACAGGAAGAAAGAATTAGTTCGTAGGAAGAAAGATATGAAGCAATTTTAACCTCATAGTTTAAGGGAAGATAGAGAGTGTATACACCTACGCCACTGTGATCGATTTTGAGCCATGTCACCCACAGTCTCCAACCATTGGTTACGATAATCACGCGGACCCCAACCAAGTAGTCTGCATCTACCAACATGGCTCAGACCAGAAGTTAGTGACTTCAAGCACTGGTGCCACGTTTTGGTTTATTATTATTATTTGAACACATGAATATTGGTACAAGAGAGCGCCAATATATATGCGCCACACAAAACAATGAGAATTCGAAGAGAAATAGAAAAAAAAGCTAAGGAGCGCAAAAAAAATAGAAAGAAAAGAAGAGAACAATAGCGAAGAGATTAGTGTAAGGTAGTAATAAGGGAACGGAAAGGTACAGTCAGAAGAAATCTTTCAGGTAAGGGAGACACAACCACTTTTTATGAAGAAGGTTACAGCAGGATCGCCACTGGCTTCTATTCTGAGCCATATCTGATAACGTCTCTAGCCACTGTGTAGCACCATCTCTCAGACCCCAACCAGGGAGTCGTGAAGGACCGACAGAAGCCAGTCCTTTGCAGCTTTCTTTCATGCCACGACACCATGTCATGCACTGACCACCTCTCCGCTTCTTCCAACCAGTCCCAGAGTCGGCAAATAATGCACGACGTGGAATTCTCTGGGACGACATTCGGAGAACATGTCCAAGCCACCGAAGTCGGTGTTTCAAGATGGTGACACCAATTGCATTATCATCTCTGTGCCCGAACACACGATGCCGAACCTCTGCATTACTGACATGGTGTTGCCACTGAATGTCAGCAATCCTTCGGAGACAGCGATGATCGAACACAGAGAGTCGTCTAACGTCCTCAACTCGGAGAGGCCAGGTTTCACAAGCATAGAGCAAAACTGCTCTCACCGACGCGTTGTAGATCCGACCTTTTACAGCCAGACTAACATCACGAAGGCGCCAAAGGTGGCCCAGATTGGCATAAGCCGCTCTGGCTTTCACTATACGTGCATTGATCTCATCACTCACACCCCCAACCAGCACTTATGCAGCTACCCAGATACACGAACTTCTCGACTACGTCTATCTGCTCACCATCCAGGGTGAGTACAGGATTAGAATCCTGCCAGTCTTGTAGAAGTACTTTGCACTTCGAAGGTGCAAAGCACATACCATACCTACGGACACTGATTGCCAACTGATTAAGTGCGGATTGCATGCCTTGGGCATTATCGCACAGTAAGACAATATCGTCCGCATACTCAAGGTCGAGAAGTCTTTCTCCAGGCAACAGATCCACACCACCATTACTTACATTCATCAGAGCTGTTTCCAGAATGTCATCGATGGCAAAGTTGAAGAGGAATGGTGAGATTGGGCAACCCTGCCTAACCCCACTGCTCGAATGGAACAATGGAGAGAGGTGGTTGTATGCCCTCACTCTGCCTGAGGTGTTTTTATATAGGGCTTTTAGGATGTTAATAAACTTCTCAGGCACACCCTTCTTCAATAGACAATCCCAGAGAACAGTCCTGTCCAACGAATCGAAGGCAGCCCTGATGTCAAGAAACACTACGATTGTTGGCCTTTGATAAGTATGGCGGTGTTCTAACATTTGGCGGAGGGTGAAGATATGATCAATACATCCTCGACCAGAACGAAACCCAGCCTGCTCCTCGCGAGTCAATCTTTCTCGGGTTTTGAACAACCTACGAAGTATGACGGAAGCCAATAGCTTGGACGCAATCGGAAGTAGACTTATCCCCCGATAGTTGTTACAGGAACGACGTGAACCCTTTTTAAAGATAGGGACAACTATCGACTCATTCCATGACGTTGGTACACTCTCTAGTTCCCAAACCTTTGTAAACAACGTCGTCAATTCCTTAGTCAAAAAGTCACCACCATCTTTAAAAAGAGCCGGAGGTAAGTCATCTGGGCCAGGTGATTTGTAACGCTTCAAGAGTTGGAGTTCCTTGCGGACTTCCTCCTCGTTTGGTGGATCAGTCGTCACCGGCCATGGAGGGCAGGACAGTCTGACCGATGTTGCCGGAGCAGCAGGCCAGTTGAACTGCCCTTCGAAAAATTCTGCCCATCGTCCAAGACGTCGATGGATGTTAGTGATTGGCATCCCATCATCCTCGCAGATTGTTTCACTCACACCAGACTTCTTGCTGCCAGTGGCTCGGATGAGCTGGAAGAGCTTCCGGTAGTTACCAGATGCAGCTGCTGCTTCCAGCTCATTAGCACGCTTCGACCACCAGGCTTCTCGGTCCTTACGCAAGCTTTGCCCAATTTCCTTACGTAACATCCTTCGTTTATGGTCAAACTCACGGTCACCCGGAGTAGACCGACGGGCTTCAATGAGTTGTAAGGAACCAGAAGAAACCCAGTGCTTAAAAGCGGGACGTTTCGCAAACCCACAACTGACTGTTCCCGCCATTTTCATGGCGTCATGCAATTGCAACCAATGCTCATCTATACTTTTCGGTGGAGTGGTAGCTAGCCTAGAGGCTAGCTCGGTTCGATACTTACTTGCAACAGAAGTTGCAACCAGCTTGCTAACATCAATCCGTTGATGGCGGTCACTTCGTTGTCCACTGAAAAGTAAGGCAAGATTGGCGCAGACCAAGGCATGGTCAGAGTCCAGATAGGTACTCCAAAAGGAGCGGCAGTCTTGTACACAACCACGCCAGCGGTAGCTGATCGCGATGTGATCAATCTGAGTCCAGGCTTGAGATGCAGAGGGAGGACGCCAGGTGGCACATCGGCGATGACTGTGCCGAAAGTTAGTGCTAGCCAGAAACAGGTTGTGGTCTGTGCAAGTAGACGGTCCCCGTTATCTGACCTGCGACCAACGAGTCCCCATCGGCCACCTAAACGACTCTCTTCTGTGCCTAGACGCCCGACCTGAGCATTCAAGTCTCCGGCTAGTACTACAATATCTGTCGAACGCACTTTCTGGAGAAGAACAGATAACTGGTGGTAAAACTCATCCTTGATTGCATCCGGGCTGCAATCTGTCGGGGCATAGGCGGAGATGACGAAAAGACATCGTTTCTCACGCCGATTTCTTCTCACTTTGATGGAACTTTCTAATCTAACAGCACATAACCGACTGTTAATGGGGATCCAATCGACTAGTGCTGCCTCAGCTCTAGCGCTTAGTGCGACACCAACGCCAGCAAGACCAGACGAAGATGCCACAGGGTCCCCGGATAAGCGCACGTAAAACAAGCTTTTCGAAGCGACAGATGGAGATCGAATTTGTAGTACTTCGCCAGAGTCTTGAATACGGGTCTCGGATAGACAACAAACATCAATATTAAGACTTTCAAAGACGTTTTGGTTTGGCCGCCCCTAACTTTCTTCAAACCATCCCGAACGCCGGTTAGCATTGCACGTCGTGGTAATCGGTGTTCGGGCATACGTAACACGTGGCCCGACCATCTCAGTCGATGAAGATTCATAACCTCATCAACTGATTTACCATCATTCCCTAATACCCTGCGTTTAACCTCACTATTACTTACCCAGTGATCCAGAAGATACGAGCAATATTTGTGAGGCATCTGGTCAAATACTAGTAGCTTACGAGTGTCTTCTACTCTTAATGGCCATGTTTCGCTGCCGTAAATTAAAACAGAACGGACTGCCGCGCAGTATACTCGTCGTTTTATTGGTAGACGGATATCTCGCCTTCGCCATAGGTGACGTCAGTTGGCAAAAGTCAAGCGAGCTTTTCGAATCCGTGATGAGATTTCGTCAAACACCAACTCATTAGGGCTGATCAGACTTCCAAGATAAGTGAAGTTGTCAACGCATTCGACTACTTCACTCCCTATCCTTAGTTCAGGTGTTGACGCAGACCAGTCCTGAAGCAACAACTTTCATTTCGAGGGAGAGAAGCGCATTCCAAACATTCTAGCATTGTTGCTCAGTGCTACCAGAAGAGTCTGCATTTTATCAGCGTCTTCACCAAACAGGACTATGTCATCCACGTATTCTATGTCGATAAGTGGACCTCCTGGAAGGAGCTCAATACCCGAGAGTTCAGTCGACGAGAAAGTTATTTCCA